CGAAGAGTGAAATGAAAGTTGTTGTGATATATCGGTGGTGTTTGATTTATTTCATTTTCATTTCGAGAACATCTTGAATATCTATCACATAACCTGCTTGATATATTCTCTTCGATTTTTCGGCTACAGCAAATAACGACGTTATACTTTCTGATTGGCTGTTTCTATACAAATCGCAATTTTCGACATCCAAATGTGGATTAGGGCCGGTATTCATAGTCGGTTCTTATTTTAAGACCGTCTTAAGTAATGTCTTAAGTCGCTAATGCGGCCCTCTGATTGGTTCATGACATCTTAAGACTGTACTTAAGACGGTCTTAAATATAAGATCTGACTATGAATACCGGCCTAGGTGTTGCAATGATTTACAACTTGTGACTGGCAACTTGTCACTCCGCAACTGGCAACGGGGTGTTTGCAACTTATTGTAGAACGGCCTTAAGAATAGACTAGCGTAGATGGTTATGGGTTATGGCTTCTGCCCATAGACAACGTTTGCCGCGCGGCGAAAGTTGGCGCGATAGTTAGAAATGCGCGATTTTTACCGAATTATCGATACGACCGATTTTTTTTTTTTTTTTTTTTCAAAAAACCGGTTATTTTTGGAGGCCAATTTATGGATATTTAGTTTTTTAAATTAAATTATATATCGTAGTAATCGTGGCTGCGTTTGGTAATTACTGGGTGCAAACAACAACCGCTCACTGAACGCTCAGATTGGTATATTCCCTTAGATCCTAAAATATAGACCAATCAGACGAAAAAGCTTATTGAGTGTCATTACTGAACTATATATACACTGGAATGGAAAATTCGTGGCTGCAATTGATCAGCCGCTATTTTGGCTGGGTCAGATGCTTGAGCGAATCAGAATTTGCGCGCGCGTTGCGATCGATGTATCGATCGATGTACTATCGATGGATGGAAATTTATATGGACATGAATGGTATATAAACAAAAATAATGTCACTTCAATTTTATTAGTACATTCAATAAAATAACTTTAATAACACTTCATATCCTATATCATTAACACATATGCAGGAATTGATATATTTAATACAAAAATTGTTACCTATGAAATGAAAGGCCCTTTTTACTTCTCTGCCTACACCCAGGCACACAGCACTTTATGTTGATGCTTTGTAGACAGTCACGCTATTTTAAAATCCTTCAAATATAATCTCACATATAATAATCTTGCTGACATATGCGTCTTACTTCTTCGCATGAGAATGTGCAGAATACGAAAGTCTAAAAGAGTAACATAAACTCAATTGCGCGTTTGAAACCAGTTGCACTTTCCAAAAATGATGACGCAATAACAAGTCCGATCACGTCGGAAGACGATCACCATTTCATATCCCATATGTGTCTTATGGCGAATTCGATTGGATG